ACGCATTCGAATACTGAAGACAAAATATACAGACTCTAGCTTAGACCACGGAAAGAACTCATTCGAATACAAAATACAAAATATACAGACTCAAGCTTATACCACGAAAATAACTCATTCGAACACTGAAGACAAAATATGCAGACTCTAGCTTAGACCACGGAAAGAACTCTTTCGAATACTGAAGACAAAATATACAGACTCAAGCATAGATAACAGAATAAACTCATTCGAATACTGAAGACAAAATATACAGACTCTAGCTTATACCACGGAAAGAACTCATTCGAATACTGAAAACAAAATATACAGACTCAAGCTTAGATCACAGAATGAATTCATTCGAATACAGAAGACAAAATATACAGACTGAAGCTTATATCACGGAAAGAACTCATTCAAATACAAAAGACAATATATAGACTCAAGCTTAGATCACGGAAAGAACACATTCGAATACTGAAGACAAAATGTACAGACTCAAGCTTAGACCACAGAAATAACTCATTCGAATACTGAAGAGAAAATATGCAGACTCAAGCTTAGATAACGGAAAGAATTTATCTGAATGTGATGTTACATACCGTAAATATGTACTTAATATCTTAAGAAGATTAAATAACTTTTTTTTATTGTAAGTAACTTAAAATTTTTTATCTTAAGCATATTTTCAAAAATAGCTTCAATGTTAATTCTAAATATCATTAAGATAAGTTTATTTGGTGTTACAAGCGCAGGACAAAAATATACACATATATTGTGATAATACATTGTAGAAGTCAGCGATAAAGTATTACGACTTTTATGTAATTTGTAACGTGTAACAATATTTCGCGAATTCGCAAAAACAAAAGTTAAAAAAACACAAAGATGTTTTACTATAAGTTATAGGAAAAGTGTCAAGTTTTTCAAAATTTTTATTATAAAATTTGCCATGATAATAGTTTAGAATATCACACGAACTATATCTCAGATGCAGGCTACAAAACTACCTTACATGATAAACCTGAAGGTAATTATGCTATTAAGATATATCATAAGAATATGAATTAACCGTGCAGGTTTGAACTTCATTATCAGCAATAACAAAGCAGCTACGAATAGGATAAAAACAATAAAGGTTATATCATTGTATGAATAACAATCACAAGGTATTTCAAAACAAACTTTTAACACGAAAAACTATAATTTTTTTTGTTTTACTTGAGTATTCTAACAGTAGTGTTCAATTGTATGTAATTTATGACAACAAAAATGGCCCAAAGATCAGAAGTCAATATGGATTTAATGATCAACCAATCAGTAACACCCTATGAACTTTCAAGTTTTCGTATCTTTGAAACAAAAATGTACTTCGAAACCCAATTCTCAACTAGTAAAGTTCTGACCAAATTTAAGACTTTATGTTTTTAGAACAGTGCCGCCACCTATTATCCAAAACCATTTTTTTTCCACAATAATGTTTCCTTGTTACTGGCCCCTCTGTTGCACAGCGGCATTTCTGCGGACGTATACTGCTAGGAAGCGGGTTTCGATACCCGTGGTGGGAAGAGCACGGATATCCCTTTATGTAGCTTTGTGTTTGAATAACAAACAACCTTGTAGATTATATGTTTTGCATAAAAAATGTAGCCCTTAGTTTTTGAAGTCAGCTTCGTCTGTGTTGTAATGTGGTTGTTTGTTGTTGTTGCTATTGTTCTTTTCCAAAAATTGTGTATACCTGTGAGAAAGAAACGTGTGATCTAGTCTATTTTTATGATTCATCACCTGTCATTGAGTTAACCTTGTTTTGGGGAATTCCACCCTCATCAGTAACCTTGGTGTACTGTTGTCTATGTGTATGTTTTTTGAATTGTTCTTTACATACTACAAGTAGTCTATATTCATATAGATTACATTTTTTTTCTTTGTTGTTGAAGCACAAAACTACACAATGGGCTACCTATGCTCTGGCAATCGAAACCTGATTTTTAATGTTATAAGCCCGTAGACTTGCCGCTGATCCATCGGAGGGTACAGATTACTTGCAGTGAATAAAGGTCAACTCTAACACCATACCCATATTTTAGTATCGTAAAAAAAATACTGTCGGACTTCACCAGCATTAATTTAATTCATTTTCGTATCAATTTAATTTAGCGATTTAACAAACTAAGTTAAAGTATACCATATTCATGTAGAAAAACAAACAAAGAAGTAAATCTTTTGCTACACTGTTTCCATCATGCTGCACATAACTGGTCCATAAGCATTCCGAGAACCCACATGTGACATTTGAAAGAACTTCAACAAAGGGTTTCTAGTTTATTCTTAATCGTTAAATTACAAAGAAGTGGAAATCGTCAACTCGTCTCAGAACCGACCCTTTTTTATTATATTTTATTTCTTGAAAACTGAAATAAAAACCGTAAACACTAAACACAAATATACATCACGAATTTTTCTGCTCTCCAATCAAAGGTTTTTTTAATGTTAATTACTTATTTTTTTGGGGGGGGGATTGGGGAGGGCGTAACTATAACATTCATTTTGGAACAAATTGAAAAATTCTCTCTAAGCTAAAGACGTGTTATCTTTTTAGCTTGGCCCGGCATGGCCAGGTGGTTAGGGCGCTAGACTCACAATCTGCGGGTCGCGGGTTCGAATCCCCGTCACACCAAACATGCTCGCCCTTTCAGCCGTGGGGACGTTATAACGTCACGGTAAATCCCACTATTCGTTGGTAAAAGAGTAGCCCAAGAGTTGGCGGTGGGTGATGATGACTAGCTGCCCTCCCTCTAGTCTTACACTGCTTAATTAGGGACGGCTAGTGTAGATAGCCCTCGTGTAGCTTTGCGCGAAATTCATAACAAACAAACAAACAATCTTTTTAGCTATTGTATAAACAAGTTAATACGCTTGACCAATTTTAAAAGTCTGATGTATGGTATGCGTAACAGTCACAGGCTGGGCGTAATCGAGTGTTTAGCGTGCCCAGCCTATAGATCCAAGATTTGTGGTTATCGCTTCGTTGCCGCAAAAATGCGCTCCGCACTTTGTGACTGTAAGAATGACAGTCAAATCCTACTGTTCGGTCAGATAAGACAGCCCAAAAGTTGTTGGCGGTTAGCTTCCCCATAGTTGAAAATTAGAGACTACTTTAGCTTTACCCGAAAAAAGTAGGGAGTACTTTAGGTTTGCGCGAAAATTGTAAAACAAAGGTACCATTAGGTAAAATAAAAACGTAAAGCAATATACAAACTGAAAGTAGCACACTGCCGACTAAAATCTTCCTTTTAAAATTTGATAGAATCACACGAACTGCAATGATAGAGAATCCGGACTTCAGTTTTTGGTACATCCATTGTTCACTCCTAAAAGTATCCTAAATTGGGAATTTGAAGAAACGCAAAGAACTTTCTTAAAAAATAAACACTGAATTTATCATTAGATATGCATGGAATTCTAATATATAAATACATATATCACCTATATCAAAGTTAGATTGCAGGGCAGTAAACAGGGAGGTGAGATTTTGGGAATAAACCCCCGAAATATATTCCGGAAAATGACAGGAAAGAGCAAGAGAGGGCCAAAGACTTTTCTTCTAAGACATGCCGTATTTATTATTACATACTTATTTATTATATATTGCATATACATATTCTTCAAGTATTATAATTTACTATATTGTGTTATGACATATTTTTGTACTGAGGCTTCGCAATTGAAGTATTTTCCCTATCAGAATTCATATTTCAGTAAGGGTAAATACCTGAAATGGTACCCCCCCCCCCTTTCCAGTGGCCCAACGGTAAGTCTGGAGTTTATAACGTTAAAAATCGGTTTTCGATACCTGCAGTGGGTAGAACACAAATAGCTCATTGTGTAGCTTTGTCATAACAAAAAACACAATTCCAAAACGTTAAATATAAATCAAACAGAGTGATAGGACTGGCAACATTTTTTTTTGGGGGGGGTATTTTTCTAGATATGCCAACCTCCAAAAAATCCTGGCTACGACCTTGTTAGATTAAGTAATTATATTTCAGTAACGTGCTAGGTTTTATTATGTTGTTCTTTGTAGTTCAGCACAAAGCTACACAAAGGGCTATCTGTGCTCTGCCCACCACGGGTATCGAAACCCGAATTCTAACGTTGTAAGTCCGCAGACTTATTTTTATTATGTCAAAAGAATCATATTTTAACGTCGCTTCAAAAATAACTTTCTGAAGCACTGAGTGTCTTTAAGACGTCTTTCGAGATATGTTTTTCTCTAAAGAAAATTTAATGTTTGCGAAACATTTTTTACGTAACCTTAACGATATATTTTTTCAAACTCCTCCAAAAAATATTTCGTGTTTTGTTAGTTCTTTGTTAGTGAATTACAATTACATCACAAGATATCACTTCCCTTTCTCTCTTCCGTGAAGTTTTCGAAGAATGCTTCATATTAATAGATTATTAAGCCTATGATAAGTAAGTCAAATTACATGCAGAGATCAACTGCTTCTTTTCAAGTCGGTTGCGATGCGCATGTCGAAACGTCGTTTATCAGAAACAGTTGCGTTTAATACAAGGTAAAAGGATATGATTCATTGACACGTACAACAGAATGATAAAAATGATAGCATAAGCACGTGCTTTTGTTCTATCGGTAATCATAATACAAGTCCAGTTCGTACACTCAACACCATGCCGCTTTGTTGTGGGTAAATGGTGTTTACGCGGGAATGCGGCTTGCTGCTATCCAACCTACTTCATTCAAGTTTTGTACTCTGATGTTACACCTCCCGCAACAGTCCAAGTTACCTTTAGATTACCAAGTTGCAGAATTATCTTCAAGTATTAAAAACTGCTGAAAACGATAGCATAGTTTGGACATAAAAATAATCATTAACAATTTTGTGAAATTAACACGATTTTCATGGTCACTCTTTAATAATTTAAAGGAACGCGCTGTTTAGGGAGTAAATGAGACTCTAGGAACAGCCACTCTGTGTACAAACCTCCGGCTTGTGTCATGTATTCATACTCGTGAAACATTTCTTGTGGATATTGTGTAGATTGTTTTTCTATGGAGTTTCTACCAAATGTGGATTTATGGCGTCTGAAACGTTATCGCTAAGTGTCCTGCTTACGTTGGCCATCTTCAGCGCAATCATCAAAGGTAAGTTTTTGTGTTTCTTAAGCCTGCTCGTGCGCGTGAGCTCGCTAGTAGAAGAATGGCGCCGTATATGTAGTTTACTTTAAGACATTTTTGCTAGCTTGGCCTGATGGCCGTCCTACTGTTCGGGGCCAGGGGATCAAATAATAGTTGGCTCGAGTTCACGATTACTAGAATAATTGTCATACAAATACTGGAAAATATTTTGTGACTTTAAGCGCATCGTACGTTGACTTCTAATGTTTGTATTCGTATTTAAGTCGTATGTTATGTATTGGAAATGCAGTATCGCGTTGTTTAGGAAGCTACAACTAGAAGAGTATATGTAGTCCTTGTACTTGAAATACCAAATGTTATGGCGTGATGTGTCAGTACTAACGATTCTCATCAGACTGTATTTTTAAAGCACCGAGAATTATTAATAACAAATAGATTAGTGTAATTATAAATGACACTTCCTGTTTCATGTTCGTGCAGGTATAAGCTGGAATCTGTTACTTCGATTATTAGATAAAAAGAGAATTTAATCAGCGAGAATTTAACCGACATTTTTTTACTTCAATACTTGGAGGTTTGTCACTATATACCAAGTGTTTACAGACAATATTTCAGTTCATCAATCCAACTAATTATTTATTTTCTAACTTGGAGGTTTGTCACTATATACCAAGTATTTACAAACCATATTTCAGTTCACCAATCCAACTAATTATTCTCCAACTTGGAGGTTTGTCACTATAGACCAAATATTTACAAACTATATGTTTGAAGTCATTCAATTCAACTAACTATTTATATTAATGCATTGTAGATATCTATATGTTATAGTCTTTGTTAGCTCTTTTGTTAAGCATGTGTGATAATCACAAATAGGTGTAGTAGTTGCAAAAAAGCGATTATGAAAACAATCTGTAAATGATGTTCATAAATCACTTTATGTCAATAACTGAGAATACTTGAGATCCAATTCTGTTTGTCCTCATATCATCGTTTCGAACTAGGTGGGAAAATTCTCATAACTATGAAAGCAGACGAAGACAGTGATTTTATTTTTTGTTTCTATGTTAACAACTGTAATAAGGAAGTCTTAAATATACAACCGTGTTTAAAACCTGCTGGTTTCAAACAGGTTTGATTATAAATGCTGTATAATTATTAGAAGTTGGCTTCATGTGATTTGTTTAATTCTGTTGGACAAAATGTATAAGATTATTATAATGCAAAGGTTTTTCAACCTCTATCTCTACCACAACAACAACAAAAACACAAAAAATTGGCACCCTCTTTCGATTATTTTACCTCATTAGCTAAGACTTATTTTGCCTTTTGTTTGATAGACAGAGTATGTAAAATCTGTCTTAACTATTAGCCTTATTGCCAAAAGGTCCTGTGAAAAACAACAGCCTAAACCCATAACATCGTCCCCCTCCAAAACAAATGTCATTGAGCATTTTATTCCTCAGAAAAGTCTGATTTAAAAAATAAAATGAGACATACCTATTTCAAAACCCCGAGAAAGAGACAAATAAATATAATAAATCAAGAAAGTCGTGGCGCTGAAGGAAGTACGTACTTTTAGTTTAAATACAATATAATAAATACAAAACATAACCGTAATTTGGTATTTCAATTTATTACAACGAAATCTCCGTAACAGAAAAAATGGGAGGATTTGTAAAAGGTCAGACATGGCGAAGGATTTTCTATAACGATAAATAAGTGACGGTCGTATACAAATGATTTATCCTGTAGGTTATCACTAACGATTTGGTAGTTTATAATCAAAGATAATGTTAAATGAGATTTTAGCAGTAAGAGAAATGTTAAAGGTCAGTGTCTCTCCTGTCGTTGTGTGGAATTATTTTCAATATATACAAAACAGGCGAGTTTATTTCAAAATGCGTATTTGGAGAATGTCAATAATATAAGTAAAATAACCTTAATTTTATAGAACAACTTTACCTTTGAGAGAGTAAAAGAAAGCTTCGCATTTTAAATAAATGCTGTGTTAAAAATACATGATTATCGTCTATATGACTATCGATTAGTTTAAGAACATGGTGGCGTTTTAACTTGTGGTTGGGACAAGTAACAATTTTTTGTAGCTTCTAGCCAATGAAAGTTGTGTAAAAAATGTTAGACTTCAACTGCTTGAAGGTTCATCTTTACTTGGTATTTTGATAATTTTCTTTTGATCCTGCCCCCACCCAACTACCCAGTGACACAGTGGTAAATCTACACGGTTGCGACACGAAATATCGGGTTTTGATACCCGTGGTGGGCAGAGCACAGATACTCCATTGTTATCTTTGCACTTAACAACCAAACCAAACCTGTTGGCTCTCTTTAGAACGTCAATTATTAAAAGTTTCCTGTTTTCATTATTATTTGGACACCTGCAGCCCTCCTCTTTTTTTGAAGTAGATTGCTTTGTGTTTGTTTTTTCTAGACAAGTCGACAACTTCCGTTTAACCCTCTTCACCTGAAACTTTTGTCATAACGTCTAGAGATAAAACTTCTGGCTGTTGAAATTCAAGAACTCATCCAGCACTTTACAGATTGCTGTTAATTATCCGGAACATTCAGTATGATGCATAAATAAGATGATGAAGTAATTATATGACTTAAATTAACCCAAACAATTAATATGTCTGATAAGTTTTAAAATAAGAAATTCACATGAAGTGTTTAATAGATAGTTACCATGGATACAAGTCCTCAACTGAAGAGAGAGTTCTTCCCTAAATTATGTTTAGGGAATTATAGTTATTATAGTAATTCCCTAAATTATAGTTACGTTATTCCCTAAATGAGTTGGAGCACATGAGTTTTAATGTTGAAACATTGTATTACCATTGATTCTGTAGCTTCTGGAACATCAAAACATTCTATATTTTATTTATCTGTATACTGCAAATGTGGTAAAAAGTTTGGAAGTGTACTTTAACCACTGCCAAATTATATATGTAAAATTGAATTATTTAGAAATATTTAGTTCTCTAAAACGTTTTGTATCGCACTTAGAAGCCACCCTGGTAACCTAGGTGATTAATTCGGGCGAAGGATACGCCAGAGTTAAGCTATATTGTGGAAAGTTCATTATCCTAATGTGTACAGGTATATACACTACTGTGCATAAATTAGAGACCAACATTGAGTCCCCTGTAAAAAAAGTATTCAGGACGAAATATAATAATAATGCCAATCTAATACCGTTATTTATTTAAAGACTTTCCAAATTATGTTTAGTTTGAAACTTAATCTAAAAAAAATAAGATATGTAAGAAAATCAGAACTGGCGATAGTTATGTTTCTGAAAACTAGAGCATGTAGATTTTAGATATTATAATGTTGTGGCTATTATACTGACGTCTAACGGCATTCCACGCATTTATTATTTTTTATATTTTAAAAGTATTGAAAAAACAAATTTTCGCTTATTGTTAGATTTTTTATTTTGCTTTCATAAAAAGTAGATTTTTTTGGTTTGTAATTGTCACGTGACTATTATGCTTTTAAGTACGAAATATGACTCCAAGACAATTTCTGATGAAGTAAGACATAGCAAATTGCTATAATACTCATAGTTTTACACAAAGAAGGCTGCAGTCATCGGGAAATTTTTACAACAATGAAAGTATCAAAAAATGGAGTTCAAATAATTATAAAAGATACAATGACACTGGTACCACTTACGACAAGAGTAGATCCGGAAAACTACCAAAACCTTTAAGATCAGATCCTCAGGCTTTCTTCGAGACAGACTTAAACTTAGCAGCTGCCATGCTACAGAAAGTCAAGAAACAACACAATGTAACTTGCACTAAGAAGGGCTGAAAGAATGTATTGCAGCAGGAAAACCTGTGTTCCATGAAGGCAAGAACAGGACTGAAGTTTGTAAAAAAAAAACCAAAAATTTGAAAACTTGTATGTGGAGAAGTGTAACTTAGTCTGATGAGTAAAAGTTTGAGAATTTGGAAACGTTAGACGTCAGTACATCCGGCATAGGAGTGTTGAAAGATTAAAGGAAACTTGTCTTCAATTAATAAGCATGGAGAAGGTAATATCCAAGTGCAGGAGCTGTTGAGCCACGTCTGGAGTTGGTAATATCCAAGTGTATGAGCTGTTTAACCACATCTGGAGAAGGTAATATCCAAGTGTAGGAGCTGTGTAACCACATTTGGAGTTGGTAATCTCCACCGTATTGATCGAATCTTGGATTCTACCTGATATAAGCAAATTATCATTCACCATTCTGTCCCTTTTGAATGTCACTTATCGAGAGAAATTTAATTTTCCACCATGATAACGAACCCAAACATACAGCAAAACGATATCTTGATAGACAGGAAGAAGATGAAACATTGCATACTGAACGTGACATCTTCAAAGCCCATACCTCATTATTTTTAAGTATGATCTTGATCTAGAAAAACAGCTTAAATCATACGAGGAACTCTGAGCAGGAATCCAATCCAATCTCTAAAACTTGAAGAAAGCATTCCTCATCAGCTTTAGGAAGTCATTTCAGCTAAAAGTAATAAAACAAAATATTCAAGAAATAAACTAAATGTCCTTCATATGTATTTGTTTTGCCTTCAGACATTATAAAGTCTTGAAAAACCTGAATTGAAAGGAACTTTGCATGTTTTATACTTGAAACATGTAATGATGGTTGAGTGGTTTCTAATGTATACACAATACAGTTTGTATAAATAGTTTCAAGTTATTGCGGAAAACGGGAAAGCCTTCTCAGCAAAGAGAAACGGATACAAAGTGGCTTCTCAAAACTCATAATTTCCATTGGTGTTTCTTTTGTTTGCCCAACCTCTCAAAGTAGCGTATAAATAAGACAAATGCGGCATTTTCATGATTAATTAAAGTACAGGATTATATATACTTCTTATTTCTGTTTCAGTAGTATAGTGAACTGTTCTAAGTTTCGCCTCAGTTGGATTTATCTTGAAAACTGCTTCTTGCATTCTGACCAGTTACGTTTGGCG